TGTACCCCAATGTTTATAGCAGCAATGTCCACAATAGCCAAACTGTGGAAAGAGCCAAGATGCCCATCGACAGATGAATGGATAAAGAAGTTGTGGTATATATACACGATGGAATATTATGCAGCCATCAAAAGGAATGAGATCTTGCCATTTGCAACGACGTGGATGGAACTGGAGGGTGTTATGCTGAGTGAAATAAGTCAATCAGAGAAAGACATGTATCACATGACCTCACTGATATGAGGAATTCTTAATCTCAGGAAACAAACTGAGTGTTACTGGAGTGGTTGGGGGTGGGAGGGATGGGATGGCTGGGTGATAGACATTGGGGAGGGTATGTGCTACGGTGAGCGCTGTGAATTGTGCAAGACTGTTGAATCACAGATCTGTACTTCTGAAACAAATAATGCAACATATTTTAAGAAAAAAGAAAAAGAAGAAGATAACAGGAGAGGAAGAAAAGGGGAGTATGTCAGAGGGGGAGACGAACCATGAGAGATGATGGACTCTGAAAAACTGAGGGTTCTAGAGGGTAGGGGGGTGGGGGGATGGGTTAGCCTGGTGATGGGTATTGAGGAGGGCACGTTTTGCATGGTGCACTGGGTGGTAGGAAAAAAAAATGAATCATGGAACACTGCATCAAAAACTAATGATGTAATATATGGTGATTAACATAACAATAAAAAAATTAAAAAAAAATAGAGCTACCCTATGACCCAGCAATTACACTACTAGGTATTTACCCCAAAGACACAGATGTAGTGAAAATAAGGGCCACATGCACCCCAATGTTCATAGCAGCAATGTCCACAATAGCCAAATAGTGCAAAGAGCCGAGATGCCCTTCAACAGATGAACGGATAAAGAAGATGTGGTCCATATATACAATGGAATATTACTCAGCCATCAGAAAGGCTGAATACCCAACTTTTACATCCACATGAATGGGATTGGAGGAGCTTATGCTAAGTGAAATAAGTCAATCAGACAAAGTCAATTATCATATGGTTTCACTTATTTGTGTAACATAAGGAATAGCGTGAAGGACATTAGGAGAAGGAAGGGAAAAATGAAGGGGGGGAATCAGAAGGTGAGATGAACCATGAGAGATTATGGACTCCAAGAAATAAACTGAGGGTTTTAGAGGGGAGGGGGTGGGGGGATATGTTAGCCTGGTGATGGGTATTAAGGAGGGCAGGTGCTGCATGGAGCACTGGATGTTATACACAAACAATGAATCGTGGATCACCACATCAAAAACTAATGAATTACTTTATGTTGACTAAGATAACATAATAAAATTAATAAAATAGTGCTTAGAATAAAAAATTAATAAATTCCTTGGTGTGCATGTTTGCTAAGTGTACAAATCATGTTCAGTTTGGACAAAGGTGGACCACTCCACTGCTTCTGGTATTTCAGAGCTGCACTACTCATCATGAGTGGACTTAACTTCCCTGAAACAACTTCAGTATGAGGTATGATCATGTGTATACTACGTAATAGGATAGGAGAGTTGATAGAATTTGTCATCAAGAGGTGTTACCTGGCTTGTGTAGGGACCCATTAGAAAAAGGATTGCATACAAATAACAAGATAAAGGGTAAACAAGTAATGTAGGTGCCTTGAGGGTTTCCAGTAATGCACATGCCAAGGGGAACCTACCCTCTACCTGTGATGGAGAGTCACAGATGTAGGTGGGTTTCAGGTTGGAGACATGTGGTATTAACATTATATCCAGTGACCGAGGCACACAGCCCATGGCAGTCAGTATAACAGAAGTCTGTAAGGAGATGTTAAGACTCAAATCCTATTGGTCATCACAGCCTCATCTTATGGAAATGCCAGAGAAAATGCCTGGGATCATGTGTCACTAATGTCTTAGTCTGTTCCAGCTGCTGTGAAAATGTACACGGACTGGGTGGTTTTAAACATCAGACACACATTTCCACAGTTCTGGAGTCTGGGAAGTCCCATGTCAAGATGCAGGTAGATTTGGTGTCTGGAGAGCACCCATGTCTTAGCCCATCTTTGCCCTGTCACCTCACATGGGGTCAAGGGGCCGGGAGCTTTCCCAGTCCTGGTGTATAAGGGCACTAATCCCATCATGAGGCTGCACGCTCCTGACCTTAATGCTTTCCTAAGGCCCCACCTCCTCCTCCCATCACATTGGTGTTAAGTTTCAACATGGTGATGGTAGAGATCACACACATTGAGTTGATATCAGCAACTGAAGGATCAATTAGTTATTCCCTGCAGGTGGAAGTTTCCTCCCATCCACTACCTCAACCTGAGGATTCTTATGGATCCAGTAGAAGCTTCTGGTCTCTGCATGCACACAGCAAACACAAGACCTTCAGAACTAGCTGGTGACCTTGGAGAGTGGACAGCTTCCACTGCAGACATTGGGTAAGACCCCTGTCCACTTCTAGTAGCTTCATTATTATTATTGTCTGCTTACATATTATCATTCTCATTTTCTAGGGACTCAGGTTGTCTACACTTATTGATCATTTATGTTCTCTTTCATTTATTTTTATAGTTTTGGCATGGAATTAGTCATCAGACTTTATCTTCTGATGATTCATTACTGATACCCGAAGCCTCATTCCTTCATCTTCTTCCCCACACATGGGAAATCTCATAGGAAAGTCTAGGTTGTGTGCCTTTGATGTTTCAGATCCTTCAGGACATTTCTAGCACTCACCCACAATAAAAAAAAAATCCCTGATTTCATATCCTTTCCTGGATTTATTAAAGCATTTCTGACATGCTGTGTGGCATTCCCCGAGGTCCATAAGCATTTTATATTCTCTTGTTATGTGTGTGTTGGATCATCTGATTCACCAACTGTGCCAAGCTTGGTTGGGGTCCCTCTGTTTCTGGATGATGTCAACTAAATAGAAGCTGTGAACATGGTGTCCACACAATGATTCCCCTGCACTGGGGCCATTGTTTTCTGGCTTTGGCTTCATGATGCACCTGTACCTGATGTCTAGCATGAACTTTATGATGCAGGCTCATAGCTTGTAAACTGGGCTGTGTGGTGTTGTGTTGAGTACAGCTGAACCTTTTTACAAACTTCATGGACATAAATCAGAATATCTATAATTAATCATCAATTTGGGAAAGATTAAGCAAGTGCAAGTGATGTTCTGCCTTTTGAACATGAAATATAGTTTTCTCCTATTACACCTAACTTTTCTTTTCACATATGTAGGTGGTAAAATCAAATTATAATTCTAGAGAGGCCCCTGAGGAAACTACTTTATGGAAAGGAAGTACCAAACTGTGACTGGAAGCATGCATTTAATCTCTAACTGCACCTGTTTCTGGTGTTGAAAATGTATTGGTGGGTCATTAGCGCCCCATGGTGACATGAGTGTCCCCTTGTGTCTTGAGCGCCCCTTGTCTCTTGAGCACCCCCTGGTGACCTGAGCTCTGCAAGGTGACCTGAGTGCCACCAGAGTCCTGAGTGCCCCCTGGTGGATTCTGGGGGTACCTGTAGCCCAGCCCCTCCTGTGACCCTGCAGGGAGGTTTGTGTCTGGGCTCACACTGATGTCTCCTCAGTGTGCCTCTAGCACAGTAATACATGGCCGTGTCCTCGGTGGTCACAGAGCTCAGCTGCAGGGAGAACTGGTTCTTGGACGTGTCAGCGGTGATGGAGATGCGGCCCTGGAAAGCCGGGTTGTAACTTGTGCTACCTGTCCAGTACCCCATCCACTCCAATGCTCTCCCAGGGCGCTGGCGGATCCAGTTCCAATAGTAACTACTGGTCACAGAGCCCCCAGAGACAACACATGTGAGAGAGAGGGTCTGTGAGGGCTTCACCAGTCCTGGGCCTGACTCCTGAAGTGTAAGTTGAGACAGGACACCTAGGGACAAAGAGAGTAATGGTGAGTCTGTCCCATCCCACAGAAAGGCCCCCCATCTATCCCAGAGCTCCCAGACCCTTACCCAGAGGAGCTGCCAGAAGGCAGAGGAGGGACCACAGTATCTGCATGGCTGTCTGCAGGTTGGAGACCCAGCACACTGGCCTCTGCCTGTGATGCCGATTTCTTCTGGGAGAACCCAAGGTGATTTGCATGTGGATCCCTGTGGGGGGAGAGGAGACATTAAAAGATCCTGAGCCCTGGTGACAGTCACCAGTTCTTGGCGTCCCCATGTTGGGTGGTGTGAGGACCCACTGAACCTGGTCCTAGTGATCTAGGCTCCAGTTCTGGCTGAACTGTTCTCTGGCCCCAGTTGCTCGAGAAGGTTTGTGCTGGAGTTGATGAACATGTGGAAAACTTACAAAGGTTCCCTTGTATTCTATTGTCAGGCTGTCCAACTGTGGGCTGCAATTTCAACCTGCAGAGTTACCTGTTCACAAGGCTGGAGGACAAGGCAGTGGCCTGGAGTCTAGACCCTAACTACTTGCACAGTTTGGGTCATTCTCTCTCTCAAATCAGATATGGGGTCCTGGAAATGATGGCAATGGATACAATCACCAGTCTCCATCTACAAAAGGGGGTGTTAGGAACTATACTTCAGCATTTACATATGGAAACAAGCTCATCTGCATGGACAGCAAGGCAGAGGGCTTGGGTGTTATGTGGATAATCTTTTCTTTTTCTTTTTTAAAAAAATTTTATTTAAATTAAATTAGCAAACATATAGTACATCATTAGTTTCAGATGTAGCATTCAATAATTTATCAGTTGCATATAACACCCAGTGCTCATCACATGCTGAGCCCTCCTTAATGCCCATCACATAGTTGCCATGCCCCCACCCACCTCCCTTTCATAACCCTCTGTTTGTTTCCTATAGTTAAGAATCTCTCATGGTTTGTCTCCTTGTCTGATGACTCCCATTCAGTTTTCCCTCTCTTCCCCTATGATCCTCTGCACTATTCCTTATAGTCCACATATGAGTGAAACTGTATAATTATCTTTCTTTGATTGACATTTCACTCAGCATAATACCTTCTATTTCCATCCACGGAACAGAAATGCTTATATGCCACTGATAAGTTGTTGAACACTACATCTGAGTGTAATTATTTACTATATGTTGGCTAATTGAATTCATTTTTTAATTTAATTTTATTATGTTATGTTAGTCACCACACAAGACATCACCAGTTTTCAATGCAGTGATCCACAATTCATTGTTTTTGTATAACACCCAGTGATCTATGCAGTATGTGCCCTCCTTAATACCCATCACCAGGCTAACCCATCCCCCCACCCACTCTCCTCTAAAACCCTCAGTTTGTTTCTCAGAGTCCATAGTCTCTCATGGTTCATCTCTCCTTCCGGTTTCCCCCCCTTCATTCTTCCCTTCCTTCTCCTAATGTCCTCCATGCTGTTCCTTACGTTCCACAAATACGTGAAACCATATGATAATTGACTTCCAATGCTTGATTTATTTAACTTAGCATAAGCTCCTCCAGTCCCATCCATATTGATAGCCAAACCGTGGCTAATTGAATTTAAATAAGAAAATAACATGTAAAATCCAACCCACATGGTCCTTTACTCACCCTGAGCACAGATGGTTCTAGGGAGGAACACATTAATCTGAGTTGGGAAGGGAAGTTCTGGCGTTCCATTCCCACACCACCTGAGTGAGACAAGGAGACCCTACTACACGGGCCCCTTCAGGGGTCCTAGCCCCAGGATGAGCCCACCAACCACCATCCAGATCTGAATTCCTCATGGGAAGGAGGAGGATGACAGAGAAGCTGGATGTGGGCTTATGGGCAGTATTTGGAGCATCTTGGTTTTTCACCTTGATTTCTCCGTCTTCTGTGGTCCTTACAGACAGGTCCCTCCATGTGCTCTGAAGACTTTACGAATTATGAATTTATTACAGAAAAATCATTTTTCTCTGTTGCACATTCTCTCTTTCTCTCCCATTACTCTGATTCTGTCTCTCACATATGAGATTTCAACACATATGTTTGAGGATATAGTCTCATAAGGTTATAAATGACCATGTTCATATTGTTTGCTTTTTTTAATCCACAGAGAACTCCTGATATGATTTATAGATATTTCCTGCTTTCCTTGTATATTTTTTCACTTCCATATTTATCGCATCTTCTCTGGACATTTTTTGTTCTCTAATAGTAGCAAGTACTTCACGTAATTAACAACGTTGAGCTCCCCATTGACAGTTTACCCTGAGGTGATAGGATGAGCCAAAAGAAGGAGGTCACATTCCTGATTCTCTGAATACCCACAAATTCTTGGCAGCAGAGCTGACGGGCCGTCCTTGTGCTCATGGTAGACCACGGCCCCTCAGATGCGATCTGGACCTCATGTTCCAGCAGATCCTGGAAGCCAAGGATGCTGCCACTCCTGCACCCCACTCTGCACCAGCAACAGTATACAGATTTCTCACTGGGGTGTCTTCCATTTAAGGAAAGAGAGGTAACTTCTGGAGCAAACTGTGAAGTTCACAATCCCCACCCAGTCCCTCTGAGTCGCAGGAGTTTACCATTGGACTATATAATGCCTCTCCCCACACAGGACCAGCACACCAGTGTCACCACTGAGGAGCTACAGGACACAGATATGTCTGAGGAGGAGATTATAGGGGTTGTAGGGGTGGTAGTGACACCAGATGCGATCCAGGGGTGGCCATCAATGACTGCTCCTCCCTGTCCTCAGCCCCAGGACCAGCCTCACACCTGCTGGTGCCCACACTATCCCAGCAGCAGCGAGCACAGCTTTTTACATGTGGCACTTCCGTTCTGGAAACATTAACAAATTAAGTTAGTGAAGAAACAAGGTGTGCTTCTAGTCTTCTGGGCCTTAAATTCCTATTTCTGGTGTTGATGACATCTCTCTCCTCCTGGTACAGAGAGGGCTCCTTTCTGATGGGAGATGTACCTTCAGCTTTCAGGGGGACCGAGGAGGTCATGGTGTCTCTGCACAGGCTGTTTCTCAAGTACCTTTAATTCCAGGGGCATATGTGGGGTGGCATATTCTGCTCCCCTCTACCACGCAATACTGGAGTAGAGTACAGTAAACACCTGTGAGCCCAGACAGGGTCCCCAAGCAGGGCTGGGTTCTCAGCTGCAGGGGATGCTCAGGACCCCACCAGCACAGGACTGCTGCCCCAGGAGCAGGTGCACAGGGGCCTGGGGAAGTCTTTCCTCTCAGAAGTTGGGGTTTCCTTTTCCAGAATACAATCTAAAATATGAGCAGGCCAAGGAATGCTAAAGGGTGCGCAAATATCCTGTTCTGTCAGGAGCATTTTCAAAACTCAAGGCAATGAGAAACACATTTGAAGAGGATGATATTCCAGGGCCTTCAGATATCTTAATTGTAAAGAGGTGGAGGTGAGAATGCACTTATTACCACATTGGATGCAGCATTTTGGAGACACACTGATCCAGGAATAAGACATTCAAATGTTAGAACCAAAGAAAGGTTCAGGTGGTCTCTCTCATTCCAAGGTAAGTTTAAAATGAGGAGCATTTCCTGTGGGTTCTATTCCCTCAGTGGGAGAAGCTCTGTCTGCTACTAGCTCAGGGAGCTGGCAGGGTACCCATGTCCTCAAACAAGGATTAGGACTTGGCCCCTCAGCTTCCTACTGAACACAGACCCTGTGATGTCTATCTGAACCTTGATGGGTCTGGTTTTGAGTATGAAATACTCTGTTTCATGAATATGCAAATACTGAGGTACACTAGGTTAGGTTTCAGGATGTATGTGTCCTGAGAGCATCACCTAACAACTGCACCCCTTCCCCCACAGAAGCCACTGAGAACACAGCCTCTCACCATGGACTGGAGCTGGAGAATCCTCTTAGTGGCATTGGCTATGGGTAAGGAACTCCCAGTCTCTGGGCTGAAGAGGGGACAAAGCCAGCCAAGGATGACTTCACCCCCACCTGTTCTCTCTCTCCACAGGTGTGAACTCACAGGTCCCGATGATACAGTATGGGCTGAGGTGAGGAAGCCAGGGACATCCATGAAGTTCTCCTGGAAGATATCTGAATACACCTTCACTGACTACTATTGGGCACTGCATGCAACAGGCCCCAGAACAAGGACTTGAGTGGATGGGGTGACTTGATCTTGAACACAGTGCCACAATTTATGCACCAAAGTTCCATGGCAGAGTCACTGTGATGGCAGACATGTCCACTAGCACAGCCTACATGGATCTAAGCAGTCTGAGGTCTGAGGACAAGGCAGGAGTATCACTGTGGGAGATACACAGTGTGAGAACCCATATCCTGGGTGTGTCAGAAACCCTGAGGAGGGGGCAGCTGTGGTGATGGGCTAAGGAGTTGTGAAGTACAAGGATTCCCCTGCCTTCATCATACCAAAATGTCGGAAGTTTGGGACAAGAATCATGTTATCATGGGGATCCCAGTCTTTTAGGGAAAGGATTGAAGAGTCCAGTTATATGGAAATTAAGGCACAGGTAAAACGTTTGCATAAAATAACACCTCTTATTTATAATTTTTTGGGTGTTATATGAAAACAATGGATTGTGGATCACCACATCAAAAACTAATGATGTATTGTATGGTGACTAACATAACTTAAAAATAAAACATTTATTTTATCATAAAGAATATATAATTTTTTGCAGAGGGAATATTTGGTGCTTCATTGTCCTTGAAGGAGTGAATGTCAGTTGAGGTATCATCTGGGAATATTGGTGTCACATCACAGGTCTTTAGATCTCTCCTGAAGGAGCGCTGTGCCTTTCCCTTATTTGAAAAAACTGACAGTGTGCTTTGGGAAAAGAGGGGATATTACATTCAAGGATGGATTTCTATGTCCCAGTCTCTGTTTGAGCATCACATCCATGACATTCTGGTAGGACAGCCTTGAACACATGGTCACAAGTCATGGGCTGACAGGTGTGCCAGGTTCAAGCTCAGTCTACATCAGCACATCATCCGTGTAGTCCCCTCTTCAGTGCTGAGTTACTGCAGAGGCTCCTCCTCACAGACCCTGTCCCTGGGGTGGTACTGTTGGCCATCACACAACAAGGGCAACATGGGGAGACCCACGACAATGTGACACTCACAACCCAGTTTGTATTATTTCCTGTGACCAGTGTGTCCAGAGACCACACATAGGG